AAGGAAAGGAAAGGAAAGGAAAGGAAAGGAGAAAGGAAAGGAAAGGAGAAAGGAAAGGAAAGGAGAAATAAAAGCTGCTGAGCTGCTATTCTCACTTCATTTTCCTAGAGGACCAATGGACCACTTAATTCAGGAAATGTCTAAATTCTACCAACCTACATCCCAGCATGGTTACAAACCGATGTTAACACAATTTCCTTTAATTATACTCTGGCCCAAAGTCTGCATTGGCATACAACAATAAGCCAAGCTAAACGTAGGGCTTAGGTCTATGGGTGGCTCTCAAGTCACACCAAAGCCCTAATCTTTTTTTTTTATCACAGTTTATGGAATAAACCAGAGTAACAGAGTTCACACTCTAACCCAAAATTAAACCAACCAACTTTGAGGCTTAGCCAACAATGGACGAACCCAGCCACTAACCTTCTGTCCTTCTTATTCAGCCATTGGTTTTTACTGAATTTGGAGTCAGGGGATCTATATACTGGTTTTAAGAAACAAATTAGTAATATGGTAGGGATAGAGATGGAAAAAAAACAGTAGATCTCATAATGTTCAAGGCTACAGTCTGGTATTATGGTCCTTTACCTGACCAAATCCTCCATATATGATAAAGAACACATCCTGAGAATAATCTTGCTATTTTAAGTCTCTTTGCCCCTTTCTGTTTGAGAGAGCTATGGGTCAGAATAAATGGAAACAAAATTCATTCCAACACAGAAGCTGTTGCTTTAAATCAGGGTGGGTCCAACCTTGGCAACTTTAAAAACCTGTGGACTTCAATTCCAGGAATTCTGGGAGTTGAAGTCCACATGTCTTAAAGTTGCCAAGGTTGGACACTCCTGATTTAAATTATGATGCCCTTTCTCTTTTCAGTTCCTTACAGAATAGCAGCAGCACCCTGGGAAACCAGTAAAAAGGTGTTTAAGGATAAAAAGAAAACATATCGTGAAGTTTTCTCAATTTAAAGTCACAGCTGCTCAACTGAAACAGAGCTCAAAAGAAGTGTTACCATCTGGCCATCCAGCTGTTGGAAATGCCAGGGGCACAGTGCATCATTCCCCCGCTGTTTTTGCTTTGTGCGTGTTAAAAAAAGGCTTCCTTTTTTAAAAAAAACAGATGGTGTGTGTTTATAGATGTGTAGACACAACTATTTGCACACATGCAAAGTGAGATAAGGCAGGGTGAAGTGAAGGTAGTTTTAAATGAAATGTAAGATCTAAGTGGTTGTGATATCCTAATTTGTATTACTGGATTTCCTTTTTACGGCCATCAAAAATATTTTGCTTATTATAACAAATGCATTTTATTCTCAAATCTCAGTGGTGCTTGCTTGTCCGCAGCGCCAATTTAATGTTCCTTCAGCTATGAACAGGGGTCTGATCTTCACCACAGTTCCTCTGTGTATTTCAGTCATACGTGAGTTATTTATTGCTGCAATTTATATGACACCTTTCTACCCGTTGGAACCTCAGGGCAATGAATAATCTAAAATAAAACATAAATAATTAAAAAACACTAAGAGATAAAAATTTTATTCACCCAGCTCAACAAACGTTGATTTCCTGACAGAAGCAGAAAAAATGAAAATAAACAAAATTCCTGAGGAATTTTTCGAGGAAATAAAATCTACAACCAAAGAACTAGATGAGATTTATTAAGATGCATGACAATTCCCAACTTTTTCATTATAATTCTGCTTATAGCATCTCTTTGTGGTGATAAATTGGTCAAGATCATAGATTAGAAGAGCAGGTCTGCATGAATCTAAATCAGGGGTGTCAAACTCAAGGCCCCGGGGGCCGGATCTGGCTTGTGCGGTGCTTAGATCTGGCTTGCGGGCCGCCCTGAAAACAGTGAAGGACCAGTCCACAGTGCCACTCCCAGCAAAAATGGAGCTCAGAAGGCAGCCCTCCCGAGCTCCATTTTCACTGGCAGAGGGTTGCAGGAGGCTGTTGTGGTTCGCCGGCAGCCGGTGCAGACAGCAGCGGAATCGGACAGTGAGGAAGAATGGGGAGTCCAGGAGTTTGGGGAGGACTCAGATGAGGGTCCTGCGTCTGATGCAGAGATGGAGCCAGAACCATTTGGCAGTTGTGTGCTGATTCCGGAGCCTAGCAGCAGCGAGGCAGAGGAACAAGGGGAGCCTGTTCCCAGTGCGCGTATGTGCAGAGCTGCTAGAGAAGCTAAGACAAAAGGGGCGATTTGGGAGTAAGGCTTGGAGGTGATTGCCCCTCCCATAAGGTATAAAGAAAATGCAAAGGTAGAGAAACCTTTGCAGGAAGCAAAGACATTCGCTCTGTTCGGATTAAACCTTGAAGCTCTGTGTGGACTTTGTACTTCGGTTGGTTTTTTATAGTTTATTTGGCACTTTAGTTGTTGGCAGCAATTCAAAGGAGAGAAAGGTGGGTGCTTATCTTGAGGGACTGCTTGGGACTCATTACAGGCTGGGAATGAACATAATTCCTAGCAATGAAATAAAACAAGAGTTGTTTTAACTAAGCGTGTGCTTAATTACAGCCTCAAAAAGCCTTGGTCAGAACAGAGGCCATCGCAACCAAAAATGGAGCTCAGGAACCCGTTTTTGCTGGCAGAGTGATTGGGCCATCACAGGCGCCCCCAGCACAAGTGACTTTGTGCTGGCCACGCCCACCCTGGCCACACCCACCCCAGCTCCTCAAGATCATCTCCTAGGGAGGCTCAGTCAATCTCATTGTACACATATTGTACATTGTCAATAAAGATTTGAATTTGAGTCAAACACCACCCTGATGCGGCCCTCAATGAAATTGAGTTTGACACCCCTGGTCTAAATTCTTTATATCTTTCTGGATTGTTTCTAATTTTTTTCACCTAAAAATCCTTGTAATCGTTCAACTTCTTACTGACAAGTGTCACACAGTTGGGAAAAATCCCAAGGTATTTAAGCAAAGGTGTTTTTACTACTTGGTGGAGTAAATGCAGAATCTTGGAAATCATAGTAAAAGTTTCCCAGTCTCTGGTACAGTGAGTTAATTAAGGTGGAATTGTTTTTTTTGTTAAAGCTTTGAGATGCTTCTTTCCAAATTTCTCTTCACTTGAGCTAAATTGTTGTTTATAAGATAAGCTGACAACTGACTCATCTGTTCTCTCTTGTTGTTTATGGACATCATTTTTTTCATCTCTCCCCCACAATCTGTCACAATTACTGGTAGTCCTCAACTTACAACCACAACTGGGACTGGAATTCTGTCATCAAATCATCGCAGTTGTAACTCAAGACATTCCGTGACCAGACCTGATTCTGTGACCAATTTTACCATAGTCGTAAGGTGACTCACATGGTCATTAAGTGAATGCTGCTTCTCCAATTGACATTATTTGCAGGAAACTGACTGGGAAGGTCACAAACATGATCACGTAACCCCAGGATGCTGCAATTGATCATAAATGCGAACAGTTGCCAAGTACCTGAGTTGTGATCATGTGACCTTGGGGGTTAATGCAACGGATGTAATTGTGAGGAAAGTAAAACACTTTTCCCACAGGTGTCATTTTTGAAATGCTATTAAATGAATGGTCTCAAGGCAAAAACCACCTGTACTACCAAGAATAGAATAGAATAACAGAGTTGGAAGGGACCTTGGAGGTCTTCTAGTCCAACCCCTGCCTAGGCAGGAAACCCTACCCCATTTCAGACAAATGGTTATCCAACATCTTCTTAAAAACTTCCAGTGTTGGAGCATTCACAACTTCTGGAGACAAGTTGTTCCACTGATTAATTGTTCTGACTGTCACAAAATTTCTCCTTAGTTCTAGGTTGCTTCTCTCCTTGATCAGTTTCCCTCCATTGCTTCTTGTCCTGCCCTCAGGGGCTTTGGAGAATAGCTTGACTCCCTCTTCTTTGTGGCAGCCCCTGAGATATTGGAAGACTGCTATCATGTCTCCCCTAGTTCTTCTTTTCATTAGACTAGACATAGTCAATAGGAAGTTCCTGCAACCATTCTTTAGTTTACTTTATTGTCATTGCACCTCTTACAACGAAATTATACACCATCTTCTTCATATGTTTTAGACTCCAGTCCCCTAATCATCTTTTTGTTGCTCTTCTCTGCACCCTTTCTTTACCACAAACACAAAAAACACTGTGTAGGGAATATTTGTCATTAAGGTTTCTAGATTAAGACCGTAATTTTAGCTTGATTTTTTTTTCCTTTACAGAGATTGCTCCAAGGATGGTCCTATTCTAGAGAGCCAAATCCAACTCTCCGCTGAGACCAGGAATCCAAATTTATGAATTTCATGGATGATTCACAAAAGAAAGATATCAGCATTTTAGTTAGAATTCAGATATCATGTATAACCAGTTTTCATGAATCAGGGGTGGGTGGGTGTAAAACAAAAGGAAACACTGCTTTTATACATCCAAAATTAGAAGTAAATTAATAAAATTAATCAGGAGTATTATATGTGTATTATTTACATACAAACACATGCTTTAGAATTAGTGAGAAAGTTTGGTCTAGTGCTTAAGATACCAGGCTAGAAACGAGGAGAAGGTGATTTCTAGTCCTGCCTTAGGAATGAAAGCAAGCTTGGTGATTTTGTGCCAATCACCAGGAGACTGAGAGTTCTAATCCTGCCTTAGGCATGAAAGCTGATTGGGTGCCTTTGGGCCAATCACAACCTTAGGCGTGAAAACTGGCTGGATGATTTTGGGCCAGTCACTCTTTCTCAGCCCAATCCACCTCACAGGATTGTTGTGGGGAAAATAGAATCGAATTACCTTGAAAAAGAGAGAAATTGGATTTTTGGAACATGGTTAAAGGATTGGCAGAGAAGCCGTAATGATAACTACATCCATTTCTTATGTGGAAGGCTGTAAAATGACCACAGAAGAGCTGGATTCCTGATAAATATAGCTTGACACAAAGCGCGCCAAGGTTTCACAACTCTGGGGATTTCAAATGATGCCAATGACAGTGATCCATGACAAATAGCATCAAATACCACAGGTGCAAAGTTTCTGTTCATATTGCCAGTCCATTTGTGACTTGCTTTACATTCATCTGTGGGAAAACAGTCCTTGCAATTCAGAATGTTTAGCATCGGGATCAGTGTTTTTTTTTCCAATTTGGCAACTTAAAGAAATGTAAACTTCAACTTCCCGTGCAAGCTGTGCTGGCTGGGGGATTCTTGGAGTTGAAGTCCACATAGCTTAAGTTGGTAAGGGTGAGAAACGCTGCTTTATGCCACCTCTTTTATAAGGGTGAGATGCACCTTGTCTACACAGTGACAACATCCACTTGGCAAGCTTAAAAATTAGTCACAATGTCCTTGGTAGATTTCTCAGACAGTAAAAGCGGCATCTGCTAACTCATTTGTTATCACGAATAATCTAGTACTCAACAACGGTGGGAAATCGCAATAAAGACTATATTTTCTGTTGCCCCTAAATTGGCCAGTTAGGTAACATACCTTATATTTTAAACTAGCAGGGTACCCATGCTTCGCTACAAAAATATGTGATCGGGCAAGTTTTTGGGGACAAAAATAGGGGGGGGGAATGGTGCCTCTGCCTACCAGCATCCATCAATATTCATCTGGCTAGAGTCCTGTCAGTGTGTGAGACAGTTGAGGGCTGTTTGGAAAGTAAAACAGTATTTGCTGTGTGAGCAAAAAGGAGACAGCAAGGAGCTGGGCGTGGCTTAGCTCAACTGCAGTTGGAAAATATTTTCAGGTGGGGAGGGGGAGTGAATTCCTTAGCATCAGAGCATGTTAATAATAATATAGGAAGTACTAATGCTCTGATGGTCATTTCGAAAAATCCTTTCTTAGTGAGCACCTAGAAGCCAAGAGGAATATACGTGCCAAATTTCAAGTTTGTAGGCTTTACGGTTCTGGAGATTTTGTGATGACGCGTGAGTGGTATTTCGCTTTTATAATATATAGATTAGAAGCCCCTCCATGAAAACTGCACCTATCAGATGAATTGGTATTATTCCTTTGTTGATATTGGGAGCAAAAACACTAAGCTTTTTTCAGAAGTTATTGGAATTTTTTAATTAAAAAATTCTAATTTTTTTTATGATACATCCTATTTCAATCACTACTATTTGATATGTTTCAGGCAAGTGAGTCACTGGTGAGACTGAATAGACACTTACAGGTATCTCTTATATTTAAGTCCAATTACACAAAAGTCACCAACACAATATCATAGAACTCAGGTGCCATTGAATACTTAATTGATGCTTGCATCCTTTTCAAACTGTTAAAAAGAGTCACATTTAAAAATAGTTGCCTTCAAGGATGTGACTTGAAAAACACAGTGACCACTCATAATAATGCTCAAATGAAACAAACAAAATGTTAAAAAAATTATGACACTTATAAAGTTACTTACCAAGCACATCTAAATGATGTTAAAGTAACCAACATATCTTTAGAAACCCCAAGGCATGTCACAACTTTGGAGCACCCCTAATGTTTGGAAATTGAAAGCTGAAAAATCTGACACGCCCTAACATTGCTCATTTAGTATAATGATAAAATAATATTTACTAGTGAGTGGAATTGGGCAACAATTCTCAGAAACACCGAATCTCTTTTCCTGTATGGTGCAATGAGGGTTTTATAAATGAACAATTACCTTAGCCCTTGGATCAAACACGACATATTCAGAAACACAAGCATAGAATTTTACATGTGAAGAAAATGAATTGTAAGGAAAAAAAACCTGCAAAAAAACCAATTACACTGTGGAAATGGGCAATAAATCATATACCTGCTTTAACTCTCCACTTCCCTATATATAGGTTCAACATTATTCATTTTTAAAACGTGTTTCCACCTCTTCTAGGAATCTCGGCCAAAGGGAAGAATTATAATATTAAAATTTCAGTGCTGGTTAACCATCAAATTAGGAGGAAATTTTTTAAAAAAAAAAAACAAGCCAAAAAATGCCTACCGTTTCATCTTCAAGTTTCAGGCGGAGAGTTTTATCCCCTTCTTTGTAATCTCTGATGATTTCAGCTGATTTCCAGACTTCTTCTGGGTCAGGAATCCAAACTCTTGTATACTGCAATGGGAGAAAAACAATAAGAGAAAAAGTAAAATAATAAGTTGAGCACCAAAAAAATGAACACAGGCCAACAAAGGAAATACAGTTAGTCCTTGACTTACAACAACAAGTTGGATTTTGCCCCAGTTTGTGACTTTTCTTGACATGTTTTGTTAAGTGAATCACTGCAGTTATTCACTGAGTAACATGGTTGTTAAGCGAACCTGGTTCCCCCCCCCCCCCCATTGACTTTGCTTGTCAAGAAGGTCGCAAAGGGGAATCACATGACACCAGAGCACTGCAACCGTCATGAATATAAGATAGTTGTGAAGCATCTGAATTTTGATCACGTGATCATTGGGATGCCACAATGGTCATAAGTGTGAAAAATGGTCATAAGTGGTCAGAGTTTAGCAGCGTGTTCTGACCCAACCCTGTTACCAGCAAGAAAATCTCAAACAAATGCAGCAACTCAAACCTTCACAGCTTTAATCTACAAATAAACTTCTTTGTAGATAGAAGATGGCTTGCAGCCAATTAGTCCAACCAGAAAAGCCTTGACGGAATTCTTCAGATCAGCCGGAGTCTCTACACGCAATGCTGGGTTCTTAAGAGCATTTTTGCCTTCTGCAGAGGCAAAACCCTTTTGAAACCAGGCTTATATTCCCTGGAGGGAGGGGCCATTACGTTGTATCCTTACTCCCGAGTCGCCTGTGCTGCTCCAGCTGTTCTCTTCTATGAATCATCCTGAGCTCACATGCACTTAGCACAGGCTCCTCGGGAACCTCATCACTGCTGCCAAGCCCCCACAATCCCTGAAGGCAGCAGTCCACTCCCTGAGGGACCCGGCCCCTCATCCGAGTCCTCGCTCTCCTCCACCGTCCGCACCTGCTGGTGGCTAACCACAACACAGCATTAATTCAGCGCCAGAAAAATAAACACAGATGGCGGACGCTTCATTTAACATCTTTATAAACATAATTAGATTTTACAAACCAGTTGTAGATTTCTCCAACATTGAGCAAACTCAGACAGAAACATGTTGCAAGTAACTTCAGTAGCTAAAAACAGACATCAGTTTCACTTTAGTTCAGCAAGCAAGCAGTGGAGAGAAGCAGTTTCATTTCCATAGACAGACTCAGAGCTTAACATAGAGCCACGCCTAGACTACTTTTAGTTTCAGTTTCCAAAACAGTCCTAATTGGCTGACTTAATTGCTATGCCTATTCATTGGCTGACTTTGTTACCATGCTCTATTCCAATTCATGAATATACTCTGACAATAAGTCTCTTTTTCCAGTGCTGATGTAACTTCAAATGGTCACTAAATGAATTGTTGTAAATTGAGGACTACTTGTAACTGTTGATTCCTGAACCCTAACTTTAATGGTACCCCAGCCAAGTGCCTATGGGGGGGAAAGGGCCCCCATATAAAATCATGTATTATTGTCATTCAAAGTACACATTGCTCTCAATATACATACTTTTAGGATTTCCAGGCTACTGGTAAGCTAATTCAATGCTAGGTTAATAAACATCCCCACTCAATATGGTAGGAGATAGTTGGAGCAGCAGGAATTCTGTACTATTAATCAATCTATCCAGATTTATTGCAAGGAAGCTATTTTAATAAAGCCGTTGTTAGATAATATAATAATAACGACAAAAATGTGTGGATTGTAGACATTGGTGTGTCTGCAGACAGCAAAATAGAAGAGAGAGAAATGGAGAAGGTAACAAGACCTGCAAACAGAAATAGAACAACTGTGGCAAAAGAGCCACCACTTGAACATGATCGGCATTGACAAATTCACCTATCAATTGCAAAAGGCAGCTGTACTTGGAACAGCTTACATCCTTGCGACAATATCTCTAACACCACCAAACAAACATATCTGCCTACCCCAGGTCCTTGATAGAGGGGCAAAAATGCCAAATCCAATCTAAACATAGAGCTGACTGTATAACCAACAACAATAATAACCTTGCCCATCATATAGAAGATTCTCCCCCCATGAAGTCAGACTGAATCTATCCTTCTAACCATTCTGGAAGTCCTTCAAAATCTGATCGTGCCATGAGGCCTGAAGGTCTCAGGGAACCGAAGATGTTCTTCGATGAATAACGGAAAAACAGAATAACAGAGTTGGGAGGGACCTTGGAGGTCTTTTAGTCCAGCCCCCTGCTCAGACAAGTGGCTCTCCAGTCTCTTCTTAAAAGCCTCCAATGGTGGAGCAACCACAATTTCTAAAGGCAAGCTGTTCCACTGGTTGATTGTTCTTGCTGTCAGGAAAGTTTTCCTTCTCTCCTTGGTTAGTGTGGATCCATTGCTTCTTGTGGTGCCTTCAGGTGCTTTGGAGAATAGCTTGACTCCCTCTTCTTTGTGGCAGCCCCTGAGATGTTGGAAGACTGCTAGCATGTCCTTCTCTTTAGTAGACTAGCCATGCGCAGTTCTTACAACCGTTCTTCATATGTTTTAGCCTCCAGTCCCCTAATCCTCTTGGTTGCTCTTCTCTGTACTCTTTCCAGAGTCTCAACATCTTTTTTTTATATTGTGGTGATCAAAACTGGATGCAGTATTCCAAGTGGGGTCTTGCCAAGGCATTATAACGCAGTAATGGCTTCATTGTGGTTCATCGTTTCTTCTCTTCGGATGGTTTTTATATTTTTTAGTATTTTGTGTGCTTATTATTTATTGCTGTTACTGATTGCTGCACACTGCCTAGTGTGAGAGGGGCAGCCATGTAAATTTGAGGAATAAGGAAAACAATTAAACGTTTCTGAAAAAGTGAGAGAAAAGAAGGAAGGAATTGGGGAAGAGAAACTAAGCTGCTATGACAACCTGAATCAATACTCCCAAGCTCTTGGGATGCTGTTAATGCTCTTACATCTAATTATACAAAAAAAAAAAAAATGCCATGAAAGGATCTTGGCATTTATAGCTCACACTGGGCTCATTTAATTCCCACACATAGCCGTTTACCTTCTGTGGCTCCTGACCCAGAATGCAATCCCGATGGCCATTACATTCCGAAAGACAGGGAACTTTTAAAATAAATCAGCAATAAAGTTGGTAATTTTTACCATGAGAGACCGAAAATGTAAATTTGACAATAAGTAGGCAGTTCATTTTTTTTTTCCTGGAATGTGAACAATTGGCTTAATGTGACTTGGAAATTGATCACTCTGGATTTGTACCACAGATAGTCCTTGACATACGACCATAATGGAGCCTGCCTATTATAGTCATATGTCATTACAGTCATAAAACTGGTTGGTTATGTGAGCAACTCAGAGGTGGAATTCAGTAGGTTCTGACCAGTTCTGGAGAACCAGTAGTGGAAATTCTGAGTAGTTTGGAGAACCAGTAAATACCCCCTCTGACTGGCCCCGCCCCTATCTCTTCTCCGCTTCCCAAGTCCCAGCGGATTGGCTGGGTCTTCTTTGGTTGCCTTGTACAGGAGAACAGAGCTGGAAAGCAGGTTAGTGGGGTGAGGAGAGAATGGGGATTTTGCAGTAAGCTTCCCCTGCCACGCCCACCAAGCCACGCCACGCCAACCAAGCCAGGCCCACAGAACTGGTAGTAAAAAAAATTGAATCCTACCACTGGATCAAGTGAATTTTTTGTTTTTCTATGGCGGTCATTAGGTGAACACCATGGTCATTAAGCAAAAATCAGAAGTGCAAAGTTACATGACTGTGGAGCGGGCCCAACTGTTGGAACTTTGAATCCGAGTCATACGTCCCACTTTTCGGATCGGTCATAACTTCAAAACAGTCTCTAAGCAACTGGTTGTAAATCAAGGACTATCTATATGTACAAATCAGATTGATTCACCAAATCATGATTACTTTGGCTTTGGGTGAACCCAGGGAAAGTCTAACAGACTGTACAGGTAGTCCCCAAATTACAACCACAATTGAGCCCAAAATTTATGTTGCTAAGTGAGAAATTTGTTAAGTGAGTTTTGCCCCGACTTTATGACTTTTCTTGCCACAATTGTTAAGTGAATCACCACAGTTGTTAAAGTAGTAACAGGTTGTTGGGTGAATTTGGCTTCCCAATTAACATAAGGGGATCGCATGACCTTGGGACACTGCAACCGTTATAAATAGGAGTCAGTTATCAAGCTGCATTAGTCAAAAGTGTGAAAAAGGGTCATAAGTTACTTTTTTCAATGCTGTGATAACTTTGAACCGTCACTAAATGAACTGTTGTAAGTTGAGGACTACCCCTATTGGCTTGCACCTTTAAAGGACTTAGAACTCTGAACACTCAGAATTTACAGGTTCATCTGTATTTACAGTATTTATCTCCTATGTTAGTGAAGAGTTCATGCCAACTCAGTACAGGTTAGACTTCAGCTTATGACCATTCGTTTAATGTCTGCTCAAAGTTGTGATGGCGCTGAAACTTTGAACGGTCACTAAATGAACTGTTGTAAGTCGAGGACTACCTGTAGGTAGTGAGATCTTGAAAATGCAGCTAGTGGTTGACTTTGTTTAACAACGGTTTAAAATTATGACAGCCTCAGCCTCTTTATAATTTATAGCTTACAACCTTCTCCTCTGGGAAGCAGAATTGAAGAATTAGCAAGCTCCAAGTTCCCCTATGTGCTTAATCATGGATTGCTTTCAGACAGTAGGATTTTTTTTAAAAAGTCTTATTAGGCAAATCTGCCAACTTTCCTACAAAAGCAAATTTTGCCATCCCCTTTTCCCACCATTAAATGGAAAAATAGAGAGTGTACATATAGTACTTTCTTGACAGCTGATTTTTCAGACTGCTCATATACCTTAATCTACAGGTAATCATTGATTTACAACCAGTCCCTTAGCGACTGTGAAAAGAGTCCTCAATTTAGAACCAATTCATTTAGTGGCTGCTGGAAGTTACAGCGGCACTGAAAAATGTGACTTATAACTGATTTTCACACAACCGTTGCAAGCATCCCCCATGGTCACATGATCAAAATTCAGGGGCTTGGCAACTGGCATGTATTTATGACAGTTGCACT